CACAGACAAAAAAGAAACTTGAAGCAACAGAAATGTGGTTCTACAGAAGCATGCTGAGAATATCATGGACCAAATATGTGAGCAACGACAAAATTTTTGAGAAAATGAAAACAAAAAGGAAACATTTAACATTAAGAAGAGACAGTTGAAATTTCTAGGGAACATACTGAGGAAAGAGGGCTTAGAGAATTTGACACTCACAGAACCTATTGAAGGCAACAGGCCAAGAGGATTTCAAAACATCTGTTGAAAATGTAATAATGGAAGAAGAATAACCCAAGTACAAAATAGGACAAGCAACATCGAGATCTCGTACAGAAACACACATATCAAAATCCCTGGAAAGAGGGAGAGAAGAAAAGGAAAGAAATGCTGTAAACAGAACAATATATAAAAGAAACACTATCAGTTTTCCTATATGGCAGTGAATGCTGGACAATCTCCTCACAGATGAAAGAGAGACTTGAGCAACAGAAATGTGGTTCTACAGAAGGATGCTGAGAATACTACGAACCGAACAATGTAAATAAAAATGAAACTTATATTTAACATCAGGAAGAGACAGGTTAAATTTCTTGGGTACATAATGAGGAAAGAGGGCTCGGAAAGTGTTATACTCACAGGACAGATTAAAGGCAAAAGTAGTTAAAGAAAATAGCACATATTTATATGCGAGTATAGAATCATATGAAATTTAGTATAAATTAACTAGTATAATTTAGTATAAGTTAACAAGTATGGAATCATATGAAATTTCTAGGGAACATAAGGAGGAAAGAAGGCTTGGAAAATCTGATACTCAGAGGACAGGGAAAAGTGGTAGAAGAAAACAGCGCATAACATACATGATGACCTTGAGGAAATGGATGGCAGAACAAGGTTTGGGAGAAATAGAGAAATACAGAAAATGCAAAATTTATTAGGCACTGCAAAGGAGAGCCATGATCACCTAGATCCTGACAGGACATGGTACATAAAGAAAAAGAAAGAAGGAAAAATGTCTTCAGTTGGGCAGCTGTCCAATTGTATTTGATTCCAATCAACTCAAATGTCGACAAAACCACTTCTGACAATTATTTATTAATGTTCATTTTTTTTTTTTATCAAAAGATTATCACTAACAAAGCAATAAAATGAAGCAACCATTTCATTATCCACGTTCAGGGCTGGTGAACATGTGAAGAAATTGTTATACCTGACGTACCTATTCTATTATTAATAGACTCTCCCACATATAATAAGTAGTAGTAGTGGTCGCCAGTTCGACTCAGTGGTGTTGAGCGAGTCAGACAATATCAGACATTGAAGTACCAACCATCACAACTAGATTGCTGCGTCATTAACTCTTATTTCCAAGTTCCTAACGTTTTGTACATCGAACCTAATTTAGGACGACTTATTGAAATACAAGCCTCCACTGGGAAAACTACTCTACAACAGAAATAGATTCCCAGGGGTTCAAAAATACATTTACCTAGATGTCTCAGGATGGACGCAGGGTTTCGAGCAAGTATATTCTATAGATATTAGTTCAGTACCTGTCGCTTCGCTAACGGCAAGATAATCAAATTTCAAATATAAATTGCTTGTTCAAATACGTTTATTAGAAAACTAGTGTACCTGTGCCACCAAAAATGATGGCAGCTGTTAGAAAGTTTTAATAGTGAGATGCAATGAAACAAAAGTCTTCAAACAATGTATTGAGATTCAATAAAACGGAGATAAAGAACTAAAATAAACGCCAATCTGCCTCTATATTTTTTAGATGTTCAATTGATTCCTGGTATTATATAAATTGCTTTTTCCTTAATATGTTATCATATTAAAAAAAAAAAAATATTTAATGTAACAGTGAAATGGAAATTGTGAGTGACAAAGTATTTTCCACACTCCAATCTCTTTCTTACAGACAGGATGTGGTGCGCCTTCCACTACTCTATCGCTACTTCCATGAAAAGTGCTCTGATGAACTACATTCCTTGGCTAGGACCCGCCATGGCATTTACATCATAGCAAACCATTGTGAGAAGTAATTTCCACTCAAACTGCTTATTTCCTTGAACCACTAATCTGTGGAACATACTCCCAAGAGGATATTTCCCTGATCCCTAAAATTTTAATCTGTTCAAGTCTAGAGTTAACCGTTATCTTCCCCTCCTATCCGTATAAACTACCCTTTAACATAACCCTCTATCTCAAGTGTCCCCAGGGCATTGTACAGGGTGAACCTTACTGCAAAAAAAACTTAATAGACAAAGTTATCTGAGTGCCTCACATGAAAGGCTTGAACAAATAAGACTGCAACCTAAGAAACATAGGAGTAAAGGAACTTATTAATTAAACTATTCATTTCTCTTGAGAAGTAATTTTGTCTAAATGCAAATAAATATCTTATTTGTGTAGATTATTAAAATGATTAAGGGAAGTAATCACTCATAAATTTACTAATTTAAGCTGATTTACCTCCATTTCAACTACAAATATGACAGGATATATTTAAAAATTAGACCTCGATAAGTAATATATAGTTTGATATATTCAGTTGAAATAAAGGAGTCATAAAAATAACTTCAAAGGGCTACACATTTTGATTTATACTCTTTTCTGGTTACTCAAAGGTTATTGCCAGAACAAAAGGGAAATTAGTCTTTGTGACAGATATCCATTTCAATTTCATTCAAAACGTGTGTATGTATGTTTGTATGTGCACAAGTATAGTTTTATTCGATGACAGATTTAAAAATGTTTGTACAAAATTTGAAAAAAACTGAAAACATTATTTACATTATTCAAACTATTGTCATCATCTTTGTCGCCAGAGTGTACAATGGCCGAAACATTGTGAATATGGCAATTAAGATGAGGATAACTGTCTGAATAATGTAAATAATGCAAGTCATGATTACTTTTAGTTTAATTTTACTTAATAACAATATTACCTACTGGTAGGAATTAATACGCAATATTAAAAGACTTAAAACTTTATAAATTACTAGCAGTAGAGCCCGGTGTTGCCCGAGGATGTAACAGTAAGAGATAGATTAAGTATCGACCATCATAAAGACTGAAAAATAAAATTGACAAAGATTATTGTTTAAGATTGATGGACACGCATGTCTTAATTAGTTTTTTGGGGTTTTTTTGGGGGGTTTTTTACGAATAGGTCAAACCCAAACTCAAACAAAAACATTGTTTTCAATCGTTATGAGTCTACCGATTGAATAGAATTTTATTATAAACAATTGTCTTGTAAATGGAATTTTTAAAGCATTCTGAATTATAAATAAAGAAAAAAGTGTGCAAGACAATAAGAAACACTACCTGCCAAAAAAAAGTGAAGTTTTGTTGAAATCGGTTGAAAAATGTAGGAAATCCGATCTCATATATAAAGGAACACACATACACACACACACAAACAACCTGGATTTTATAAGTATAACTCGATATGAGTTTTCCCCCTTTCATTCTGGTGACAGTGATGCCTTGTAATCATGTTTTCAAATTGATTTTGTGCAAAAACAATTGTGTTTTTCCAATTTTTGGTGCTGTCAGAACCTCTGCAAGGTAATTTTACATAGTCCTGTGAAGTTTTGTTGAAATCGGTTGAAAAATGTAGGAAATCCGATCCAATATATTAATGAACACACACACACACACACACACACACACACACAACCTGGGTTTTATAATAGGTATGATTCTAATTAAAATTTAAAAAAAGAATGGAAAATAATTCTTATAAAACTTCATTAAAGATCTGAAAAGAAAATCTGAAAGAAAATTATGTGCCTTATTAGATTATGTAAGCATTAATACTGAAGAAAAATTATTTTTTGAGTTGATTGAATTATTTTTGTAAGGCTCCAAAACAGGTTTTTTTTTCAAGATTTTCTCATTTGACAGTTATTTGTAATATTTGTTTTAATTCATATTAATGAAACTTTAAATTAGATAATTTTTCTAGCATAACATTTAATTTTTAAAAGATTTTTTATTAAATCGAATTATGTTATGTTGACACATTTTTTAATATGGATGATTTTAAAGATTTTGCTGATAATCAGAAAAAAATGATTCTAATAAATTTAAAATTGGTTTGAAATACAGTAAAGTATTTTGCTTATTTGAAATATTAAATTTAATCTATTAAATTGGAATAAAAATGAAAGTTTCAAGATAGATTTTTCATTTTTTTAAATGCATCTTTTACAGTGCTCTTTTATATATATATATATATATATATATATATATATATATATATATATATATATATATATATATATAAAGAAGGACGATTGCTACACAATTTTCATTCTTTTATGAATTTCAGACATTCTAGTCGCCTGAAGATCACAAGAGCATGAAACTTGAGTAATGATTTTAGCTGTCTGTTGAGTGTTGATGTTTTGAAATGTTATTGCTCTGTCTTGATAGTCTAAGGTTTGAGCACTTTAATTTGCTGTGTAGGTAGGTGTTTGCCTTTTGGTCTTTTTTTTCCTTTTTCTTTCTTTGTTCAGGATTTCTGGCAAGTTGTCTACTGGCCACACCAACATTGTTGGGTTTTTAGTATATATATATATATCCTGTTCTGGCTATGACAATAAACTACATCCAACTGCAAGGGCTTCGAATGGAGGGTTTTGGGGAGTGTGGAACCACCACTTAATTGATGTTGTTTCCAGATCTACCCTGACCCAGCATGGTAGCACCTGTTAGGGTCCCAGCTATGGACAAAGAGTTAACCCCTAAACTGGGTCAAAACATGATGAAAGTATAAAAATACATTTTTATAGTAAAATTACCAGCATTACATTCGCATAGTAAAAAATTACCAGTGATACATTTTTGTAAAAAAATAAATAAAAAAATAAAAATTATCAGAAATACATTTCTGTAAGGTAAAAATATTACAAGCAATACATTTTTGCAAAAGAAATTGCTAATGTTCCCTAGAAAATTCAGTTTTGGCATTAAATGACCTATAAGGAGTTGATATGCCTCTAAACAAACAGATAGATAGATAGATAGATAGATAGATAAAACTTTAAATTACAGTAGTTGTGAAATCAGCTATATCAGCCAAATAAATATATATGCATGCACATACACATGAATTAGCATTCACTAATTAAAAAGTAGATGACATAAAAGATACTTGTTTTCATATATTTTATCAGATATTTTCTAATACATTTTTCATTGGCTTGCTGTATAAGTCCAGTATATTTCTTAGTGGTGGAGAAATTTCATCCTCTCTATAATTTAGTCATGTAGTGAGAGACGAAAAGTTATCTCTCCTTGACCCAAAACAAAAAAAAAAAGCATAAAAATTAATTAAAAATATTCACAGGAATAAAAAAACATTCATGTAAGCAGACAAGACCCGCACAAGACATCATTAGGCAGGAAAGTCAATCTTCCTCTTTTTGCTCTATGAAGTTACTGTAACAAGACACACATTTTCAGGCTCATGACAACCAGATCAGTACAAAATTTATATTGTTTTAGGTACCCAGTCCTTTGCAAGTAGATATATGCAACCTTGTATTAAGAATTTTGAATATAAAATATATATATTCAAGTGTTTTTATACAAAGACTTTTGTATTTTGTTTGAACTTTTCATATATTTATGTTGTCATATGTTTCATACACTTTAAAGGTGATCTATGCTACATATTCTTGCACAACATATTTGGTGACCACAACATATTTTGATAACCACAATCAAGTAGCAATCAGCATAAAATATTGGTCTTGTATAGAGGTTGTCATGTTTGTCTTAATTTAACAAAGGATAGAAAATCTGATACTGGTATTTGACATACATTAGAATAGCAAAAGATGTCTTCCAAATGCTAAGCAGAGTACAAAGAAGCAGGAAATTTATGTTAGAAACAAAGAAATCAGTGCTCAACATGTGAGCAATGATAAAAAAATATAAAAAATTTTAGATAGAGTATATCTGTAAAAGGACAATATGAATAAAGACAAAAGGAAAACTGAGCCAATGCATTTCATCCTCTGAGGAACTTTATCAAGGTCAATTGTTGAAAAAAAAAAAAAACTGTCGATGCAGTAAAAGTGGCAGAAACCCAGAAGAGAGCAGCAACAGCCTGGTAAGGGTTGCAAAAGGAGTCCTCCTCTTGCGACCCGCTCCAACTAGGTCTAGTAACTGAGAGGAAAAAAAGTAATAATCTTTCAGTATGACAATTAACCAGTCATGCGTCCGCTAGTAGAAAAAAATTGTTGAGAGTACGGAGGACGATTTTTATAAGGAGGCTAACCACTTCCCACAATCCTCCTCCTACCAAGACCATAAGTATCAATTGGTCACTTGCTTCCAGTTTAGCTGGGCACAATTCCCCCGAGGCTGAAGCAACCCATCCATAAGTACCCCCTCTCTCTTCCTCTTTCCTTTTCTTCACACAATGTAAGGATTTTATTTTGTGACAAGTATTTAAATACAAGAGCAAAAATGTTATTGTGTTTTTCAAAATTTATAAGTATAGGAATGCTCATAAATATTCATCAGGTTAGCTGAAAAGCGAGACAAGTTATGGAGGACACAAAGTGACACAATTCAATGTCTAATAAATGAAAGTGAGTAAGTGATGTTTTTGAAATCTTTTTTTAATGCAAATTAGCATTTAAATTATTTCATTTTTGAATTAATTTATGTGTTATATATTTTGAATAACAAGAAGTTATGGATTTTACTGTTTACTTTTAATTTTAAAAAATTTTTGTAGTCATGTATCTTAGCTTGGGAAAGGAGTAATTCTTTCAGGAATGGAGATATTGAAAAAAGTCTGGGGTGCAGATTTATATTTTGATAAGATTCAATAGCAGCGCTCTCAAGAATTAATTCACTGGGTTCTCTTTGTGGTATTCTTTACATTAAAGTTGTGATTGAATTTATTTCTCTATATAATTAATGCATTTGATAAATTGTTTTATATAGTATCTGTCTATATTTCTGAGATGAGGTATTATGTACACTATTTACATTATTCGGACTATTGTTCTCATCTTTGTTGCCATATTAATCCAATCCTTCAATATCTGTCTATATTTCTGAGATGAGGTATTATGTACACTATTTACATTATTTGGACTATTGTCCTCATCTTTGTCACCATATTTGTCACAACGTTTCAGCCATTGATAACTGACATCCATTAAACATGGCATGTGGAACTAGAACAGTCTACCCCAGTGAGTGAAAAAAAAGGGTTCAGTTCAACATTCCAACCACCTGAAGAAGGCCGGAGCGTAAAACAGTCAAAATGTTGTGATAAATATGGCAACAAAGATGAGGACAATAGTCTGGATAATGTAAATAGTGTTGTTTTGTATAATGTCCCTTTTTTGTTCATAGATAGATTTTTAAAAAATTTCTGCAAGTTTCCCCAATGTATTGTGAGGAGCAGTCCTGGCAATTTATTTCATATATACCTGCTTCAGAATTATTATTATTATGGGTATTCTTGGTTCTGATCATATCCATAATAGTTTTGGGTGTGATTGTAATTATTTTGATGTTGTTTAGATGAGATAGATTTGAGGGTGGGAATAGTGGATGTTATGGAGTTAGTAGGTAGTATTGCACTTTTCTTCCTTTTTTTTTTTTTAAAGGCAATTCACCACAAGCAAGGCCGGAGTGCCACTAGCACGCAAGAAGTTACAGAGGATTTAGAACAAAAGCAAAGAGGCACGTTTGAGGAAAGGATACAGAGGAGGACAGGAAACAAGCTCAGAGTCTCAGATGTCGATTGACATTACACTTGAATATTTGAAGATTATAGTCATCAGGGAACCAAGTAAGGGAAGGGAGTTTCACAGATGGGAAGTGCGGGAGAAGAAGCTGTTTGTGAAGAAGAGACGGTTACATTTAACCGTTTTGACAGTGAAAGGGTGAGACCGAGATACCAGCCTGGTATCTCGCTTAAATTCATGAAATTCAGGAACCAGCAACAGTAGCTCATCAGAACAGTTGCCGTGAAAATATTTGTAGAAGAGACAGAGGGAGGCCACAGTACATCTGGGATAGCAATTGTAGATTAGATGCCAGATGGATGAAATGATTATCTGTATGAGGTAAATCATTTGGATCTCATTAATTGTAATTCATTTATATGCTCTATAATAAAAATTATAGAGCTCTCTTCTGTGGATCAGTTTTAATATTTTACATTAATAGGATCTACTTGGATTACTTACCCACAGATTTTTTTATATATATATATATATATATATATATATATATATATATATATATACTTTATTTAAGAACATATTCTGACCTCTAATGAGGCATGTACTTGTAAATGAGCAGGCATGTGTGTGTCGACATGATGTGACCTTCACATATGCATATATTAACTTGTAACACTCATCCAGTGCCCATGTAAGTAGATCTGATTCATCTGTCAATTCAACAAGGAATTGCTGTCGGCATGACTCATCCCTCCTGTTCAACAAAAGAGGCTGCAGAAACGAAGAACTCAGGGTTGTTCAATTGACTATAATGCCTAATGCAGGCTGTAAATTCTTCCAGAAATTCATTTTGTATTTAGCAGAATGACAGTTGAGGTTTCATTATATTTTTCAAACATATCTATAAGAGTCTGATATAGATATATTGTATATATTTTGCCAGAGAAACTTTCTTTTATATGAAGTTTCATTAAATGTGATGTACATGGAAAATTATATAAATTTTTTTTATTCAGTTTTCTAATTTTCTCATTTCTATATTTTTTTTTGTGGAATAAGTTTATAAATCTTTGTTCTTAAAAAAAAACTGTAAGAATATAAAAAAAGCAGAATAAAAAAAATCTCGTCATAAATTTTTCAGCAAACATAGAGAAACGCTTGTCTGTATCTCTGAGATAAAGTATTATGATCATTTACATTATTTAGATTATTCAGACTGTTATCCTCATCTACATTGCCATATCACAACATTTCAACCACTATATCTCTGAGATGAGGTACTATGATTAATTGCATTATTTCCATTATTCGGACTGTTATCCTCATCTTCATTGACATATTTTTTTACTGTTATCCTCATCTTCATTGACATATTATTCGGACTGTTATCCTCATCTTCATTGACATATTCACAACGTTTCAGCCTCTATATCTCTGAGATGAGGTATCATGATTACTTGCATTATTTACATTATTTAGACTGTTATCCTCATCTTCATTGACATATTCACAACGTTTCAGCCTCTATATCTCTGAGATGAGGTATTATGTTTACATGCATTATTTACATTATTCAGACTGTTATCCTCATCTCCATTGCCATATTCACAACGTTTCAGCCATTGTGCATTTCAGCCTTCTTCAGGCGGTTGGAATTTTGAACCTCGAGAAAGCATGGCTCAGTGGATAAAGGTGTTGAAACTAACCTTGAAATTTTTTTAATTTGTCCTTTATTAAATAAAAAAATTATGCTTAAATTTTCTTCCTGCAAATATCTGTCTATATCTCTGAGATGAGGTATTATGATAACTTGCATTATTTACATTATTCAAACGATTATCCTCATCTTCATTGCCAATGTTTTGGTCATTGTATGCTCCGGCTTCTTCAGGTGACTGGAATTTCAAACTGAAGCCTTTATTTCGTCCACCGGGGCAGATTGTTCTAGTTCCATGTGCCATGCCTCTTCTGGATGTCTCAGTTATTTCTCTTTAACTCAACTTAAGTTTTTTGGTTAAACACTGCTGTAACCTGGTATTGAACCCACAACTCTTTGGGTCTAGTTACTGGATTTAACCAACACCTTTATCCACTGGGCCGAAACAGAGAGCCAAGTTCAAATTCTAATCAAATTCATTACATTCACTTACATGCTAATACCCTTTCGGAAATCAATCTCTTCTCCCTCCCATCTATGGGTAAAATAGCAGGGCTGACTGAGTCTTATATCATCGGATGGCAAACAGTCTAAGAGAAGGACAATAGTGCACCAGTTCTCTGTATCCGGCTCTTCCAAAAAGTGTGATTAGTTCTGCAGAAGCCTTCACCACTATAAAGGAATCTCTCGATTAGTTTGACTAATGTGCACATTGGTAACTATAAAAAAATCAATTTTCAATTACTATAG